GTGTGTGTGTGTGTGTGTGTGTGGCACTGGGGATTGAACTCGGGACCCTGTGCTTGCCAGGCAGGCACTTGCTCCACTAAACTGTCTCCTTGGTCCTAGACAAAGTTTCACGAGGTAGTTTAAGCTGGCTTGAATTCACAACAGTCTTCCGCCTCAGTCTCTGAATGCTAAGACTTCAGGTGTGCACTACCATGTCCGGTTTTGATGATGATGATTTATCTCAAATGCATAGAAGAGAATCTGCTAGTCAACTGACTTTTGTCTACATAATATAAGTAAATGTCTGTACAGTATCATACTGAGAGCACTTCAGCCTCTAGAGACTCTTGATTTTTTTCTCAGTGTTGGGAATTGAACCCAGGACTTCAGGCATGCTAGGCAATAGCTCCACATCCCCGTCCCAAGGTGCTCCCTTTTGAGAACATCAGAGGCCTATTGCACGGATGCTCTGTGGTGGCAGGAGAGTGGGTAGAGGGAGGACAGCTGGGTCCAAGGATGGCGTCAGCATCAAATGTGGTAGCAGGTCAGGCAGCTGGCTATGGAGGGATCAGTCCCTTGCCCCTGTCACCCTACCAGTTGAAAGCCTTAGCAACTGTTCCATAAGGGACCACCACTGACCTACAGCAAGCCAGTGGGACCAAGCCAGTCAAGTACAGTAGAACAATTAACCAGATGATACAGGTCAGGGTTTTGTCCCCCCAACCTATCCACAGCCTGTTTCACTTCAAGAACAAGGAGAATTAAGGGCTCTGCTCTGAGCAGCAGAACCTCATAGGGAACAAGCCCTGGCTTGACTATACCTGGCTGATGCTGTACACCGGGGACATGGCAGTGTCCAGCTCCAAGCCTGGGTAGCTCCAGGTAGCACTGAAGGAGGCACTTGTCCTCGAGGAGAAGTGGAGGATCAGCTGCTGAGCCTGGGTGGCTGCGCTCACATTCCAGGATGGGAGAGACCCTGTTTGTGGAAGTGGATCACAGGTGGGCAACAGCAGAGAGGAGTCAGGGCTGGGCTGAGGTCTGCTTCGTTTGTCACAGCAGGGTGAAGGTGAAATGGGGTTTGAAGTGAAGTCACATATTGGCTTACCACTTTGGTGGGGGCATTCAACGTGACTGCTGTTTTCAAAGTAGAACTGAGAGATACAGGAATAGCAAGTCAACCCGACCCTAGCTCCAGCCCCTGCCCCTGTGCACCTCTCATAGTCATGGTTGTACCTTAAAGCAGAGCAGGGGATGCAAGTCCACCTTCTCCCAAACATACCACTGTGAAGGAGAGAGTGGTCAGTCAGGGAGAGGGTCCCTGATTCCTACTCTGCCTACCTCGGGTGCGAGGGCAAGGGAACTGTCCTTACTCCTTCTGACTCTTGAACTGTGGCATTGGGGAGGTCTTCACAGAGGCTATGCTGGTCCTGCCTCTGGCAGAGGGAGGCCTCCAGCTTCAGCGGGCAGTGGAGCGTCAGGGCCATGACCATCCGATTGTGCTGGCTGTGGTCAGTGAAGTGCACTGATTTCCAGAGGTTGGGGGCATCTGGAAAGCAGCCAGGTTGGTGGGAGGGAAGCTTCAGCCTTGCGCCAGCCTTATGCTGCTACTCCCGTGCCCAGAGCCCCAGACGATGAGCAAGTGCCCTGGGACAGCTCCTGGCCCAAATAGGTAGCCAATAAGTGCCCCACTCCCATCTTCTTTACT